CCACATGTACCAGAGGCAGCGCCACGTCAGCATGCCACATAGACCATAGGCAGCGCCACATGTACCAGAGGCAGCGTCACGTCAGCATGCCACATAGACCATAGGCAGCGCCACATGTACCAGAGGCAGCGCCACGTCAGCATGCCTGACCCAAAATGCCAGCGTCGCCCCTCCCTCGTGTCATCGTCCGGAGCTCTGATGCACAGCCAGCGTCGCACTAGCATAATGCCAGCGTCAAGTCAAAGTCAAGCCAGCGTTGAACCAGCATGGCAAGACTGAATGCTGACCACCTCGAGGTCCCACTTTAAGTAGTGTTTGGCGAGGCTCTCTGGCCTCGAGTTCCCTCCCTTCAGTCGTCCAGATTGAGTCACAGCCGAAGGCCTGGATTGTACAGTTGCAGAACTCCCCCTTGGACTTGATGCTATCTGGGTACCTGCATACAAACACGTGTGTGCGCTTGACCTGTGGCCTGGACTGGGTACCTTTGGACTTTGACTGTTGGGATCCCGGCAGTTGACAAAAGTCAACTGTGGCGCGCCCCAGGCCCTGAATCCCTGTGTGGGGGTCCCTTACCTCGTTTTTGGCCTGGCTGAGGGCGGCCAGGTCGGCCCTCAGATTTCCACGAGACATATGGCATGGGTTATTGCATGGGGCGCTGGCTGGAAGAAAGGCAGCCATAGCTGCGCCAGCGCCAGTCAGTACATTAGTAGGGATAGTTAGTAGAAGAGACCAGTGAGTAGTATTCAGAGTAGATCCTCGTGTGATAGGGAGTGTGCATGCATGGAGAGTGTGAGTAGATCAGAACTATAGACAGAGAGAGAGAGAAGAAGGACAAGGAGAAGAGAGCGAGAGAAGAAGGACAAGGAGAAGAGAGAGAAGCGAGTTATGAAGAAACTTACCTGTTGAGCTCTGTACTGGAAGAATGATGCTGTCACTGATAAGCGCCAGGCCTGGAACTCATGTTGGATGAAGAGGACTTGTAAAGAGGACTTGTAATTCTGTTGGGCGCTATCCATTTTGAGCTCGTGATTCGCTTTCTTCAATCTGGTTACGATAATCGAGTTGTGTTTCCTGGTTACCACTCATTTTCCATTGAATTTCGTGTGAGACAATGCAATCTGTGTGACCTGTATTACATGCAAGCTATCTGGTACACTCCAGCAAGTGAAGTTCAGTCACGTTCCTTGCAAATTTGGTATCGGAGCAGAACTCGTTACACTCGCTGGTTTGCGCTGGCATGACCTAGGCCGGCGAGAAGAAGAAGGCTAGCTTGGGTATAAGCTAGCGAAGGAGGAAGTGAGGCAAGGTGTGAGTTGGATTGGCATTGGTTGGGAGGGGAAGTGCGCCGAAGAAGAAAGGGCTAAGGAGGAGATATACGTACCCGCTTTGCGATTGGAGCGTTGGAGCGAACGTGGAGTCTTCACCGACGGCTACAAAGAAGAGAAGCACCTCGTGAAACCCCTATCTCATTGATTGTAAATCTCTGTGTTGTGTACCTCTTCCCCCCTCCTTTCTGGTGGTCACTGCTGCTGTCTGGACGAAATACTCTGGTCTGGTCTGGTCTGACGGTCAGGGCTATCAAATCTGAGTCTGGTCAGAAGAGTCAACAGCCGGCCTTAGTGCATTGTCATCTGGACTGACAAATACCAGTGAAGATAGGATTAGACTGGGAGTGGTGGTAGACTGCCACGTCAGATAGGAAGTGGCCTGTGAGCAAAGACCATTCTGACGAATTGTTCTGTTCTGAAGTATATCATTATCTCCCAGCTACTTATACTAATCAGCGATTGAAAGGTGGTCCAGCCAGGCAAACGAGAATAAAAGAAAGACAACAGCAAAGTGATAAACAGGCAGCAAACAAAAGAAGAGAAAAAGAATTCCTACTTGCTTTGATTAGGAAAAGTTGTATATTATTTTGCATTGTTAAATTTCGTTATATTGAATCAGCGACATCCAGACTTTAAAAAAACACATCCCATCCACTCAGCTGGATTAGGATCCGGGATAGCTACTTGGTGGTATAGCGGAGGACCCCTTGTGCTTTCTTCCACCATGGATGACTATACCATGTGCGGGATGGTGGTTCTCTCGGTACTGTTGGGAGCACTATTTCGTTTTTTCTTTCCCCTTGGCTTCGGGAGGGTCTGCGCCTCCCACATGATGGAGATGAGGTCTGGAAAGGTGAAGCAGGGGATCTAGGCTGCAGAGCAGGCACAAATAGATCGTCGCCTGGCCGAGAAAAAGAAAGAAAAGGAACAAAAAAAGAAACAGAAACAAGAAGAAATGAAAAAGAAAGTGTCGATAGAAGAAGAAAGAGTGAAAAAAGAGCTAAAAGAAAAGATGGAAAGACAACTGCAGGAAGAGTTGAAGAGTTCAGAAGAAGAAGAGGAACCTGAAGATGAGGGAGACAGGTTAGTCAGGTGTCGGACTGAAAGAGGGGAAAGCAGCCAGTCTCGAGGGATTAGTATTGACTTAAAACCATTGAATTGGTTGGACTGGTACGGTTTTAAAGGCGAGATCATAGTTGAAACTGAAGAAGAAAGCGATACTTTTGTTGCAAAACTCGCCTCAGTGGA